AAAAACAAGTCCTAAAAGTCATTCTCTCATTGGCCTACATGAAGTCAGGTGCCCATCTCTGAACCAAGCATGGTGGCCGTGGGAGCAACTTGTACTAATTTTTCCTGGACCCGAGTCCAACCCCCGACTAGGCAGGTAGGAGTCGAGACTGGCCCTCATGGGCTGACACATGGGAATGAGTAGGTCCTTTAAAGACACTTGGGCTGCTGTTACTTGAAAGAAAGAGAATGGAAGCTGTACAACAAAAACAAGGTTCATTACAACTGATTTACACCAACTGTCACTCCAAGCCACCACGCACAGCCATCCAACAAAGCTGAGAATACTCCTCCTGGTGTGCAAAGCTAGAAAGGCAAACCCAATGAAAGTCAAATCTAGGGAGAGGTTGACTCAACATTTGCATTCCTGATTCCTTCGGTGCTCGCTTTCAGAGGCAGTCCCTACAATGCAGAAACACATGGCAGGGATTGTTAAGCCTGGGGGAGGAGAGGGTAGGCGACAGAACTCAACAGGTGTACAAATTAACAGTGACCAAAGAGTCAACACCTTTAACCTTTTAGTGGTCGTGATTGTCCTTGAGGATGAAGCGAGCTGCAACCCAGTGGCATCCTCGAAGATGGCAGACAGTGAGCCTGCGTGCATTCTTCCTTCGTTTGCTTCCTGGTCCATTCAACAGACTTACATCAGCTTCTACCTAATGCTGGAAAATGGGTGATGCAGAAAGAACAGAGAGAAAAATCAAACTGGGCACCCAATTCTAAGGTGACCTGCCATGCTGGGGAGGTAGGTGCAGAAACAACCAAGTACAATAGAAAACTAGATGTTAATCAGCGTGAAATAGAGATAACACACGGTAGGAGTGTGCTCATTCTGACTCAGCAAATCAAGGAAGACCACACAAAGGAAGCGGCATTGGAAACACCTTTTGAAGGATGAGTACACTTCAAATAAGAGTTCTATGCAGACTCCAAAACTATTGTTGCCCTATAGTTCCTTAGAGTTGTGATTCGAGCTCTGACGAATAAAAAACATCATCCTACCTCCGTTTCTTTCCCACAAGCATTTATTGAACATGTGCCAGGTACAGTGCTTAGGTCTAAGGAGCACAGCAATGAATAAACTCAATTCCTGATCAGAAGGCACTTCGCGTAGTCAAGGAGACCGACACACCAAGGGGTGATTTCGATACAGTTTAAGTATCAAAAATCAAAATTGTAAGTAGCATGCAGGGTGAACGGGGTTGGAGTATGTGCTCTAACTGGTCACTTGCAATTTGTCTAAGCGTCTGTCCTCTTGATCAGGGACAGAAAACAATACCAGCATCTCCAAGGTAAGCGCCTGACATTCGGATGAAACAATTGCCCCTGTGGGAGAGGGGAGAGGGTTGGCGGGGGGCAGAGGCTGTGGTTGCATTGGTGTTGCCACAGCCCTTGGTTTTGCCATAGTAGAAAACATTGAGGCAACACAACTAACTCTGTGGTTGGGGGCTGGATTGCTTCCTCTTTTGTATCTTTGCAAAACATTCAACAGAGCCAGTTTCACCCGACTGAGGGTAAACGCCCTTTGATTTTCATCTTTTCTTTCTTTCTTTGTCTTTTTTTTTTTAACAATAGGTATCATGAAGATCACAGGAGACTGTAGATTTGAAAGAAATCAAGAGATTAACTTGCTCCTCGCTACTGTTTTTAAATAGCAGCTTAAAATAAGAAAGCGAGTTAGGGCCAGAGGTTTGGACTGGGATCGGGACCGGGAGTGGTAAATCGGACCTGACGCTGTTGCCAGAGCAGTCGGGGTAGAGACACTTCCCTGGTGCCCCTTTCCTCACAGGTAAGTGGGAACTTCAACCCACTTCACAGAGTTGTTCTGAGGATTAAGTTAAATAGAACAAGCCTTATGTGTTGGGCACATTATAATTGATATGCAAATGCAAGGTGGTCCCCAACCCTCCTTTCCCATTAGTTGCCAAGGGGGGGGGGGGCTGTGTATCTAGTCATTGTCATCTCTGAGGGTTGTCCCGGTTTCCCTCTCTCCTAATTCCACAAAAACACACATTTTCTGGGGACTGACTTTGTGGCAGGCCCTGAATGTGCTCCTGAAGATTACAGAGATGAATGAGTCACTGTTCTTGTCACCAAGAATGTAACTTCTATTCAGACTTCATCACAGGGTTCTCACTAGGTAACCAGTCTCTCTCGGCCCTCCTCCGCCCCACCCTTCATTTCTCAGTCTGCCTCTCTCTTTCTCTCTCTCCCTCTCCTTCTCTCGCTGTCTTTAAAAAAATATATTCCCACTGCAATTCAGATATGAACCCTGAGCAAACACTAAGGACATATCTGCAACATTTTTGAGAGACAGCAATTCTTGCAGTTGCAAGAAATACTGTATAAATCCTTGAAAGACACAACAGCAACAGCAGATAAAAAGCTTGAGATCATCAATGATAACAAAATCAAATCTAAAGGCAAATAATAAAAGTACTGCAGTAAATCTGTGTGGAAATTGCAGATTCTAAAAATCAAACTGAAACCTTTAGAGATTTTATTCTTCCCTGGCCATCCGAACGTGAGCGACTCCAGTACCATTACAAGGAAGCTCAAGTGGGCCAGTTTCAACAAATCCCCATCCATCCTGGCTTACCGTTCTCTGATTTCTTTGTCTTTTCTTAGTATGCCACTTAAAATTAAAATGTTATTTTCTCCAAATATTTATATTGTTACCCCTACCCTCACGTCACCTGCAGGCAACATAACCCCAGTGCCATTCTGATCTTACAATCTGGTCACAACCCATATTGCCCACATCATGTACTTGTCGTAAAACCAAACAGTTTGGAAATTGCTCCAAGGCCGTGCCCATGAATTACTCGAGTGACACGTGACAGATACCCAAGGAGTGGGCCGTCGAGCTACCAGAGAGAGACATAGGTTTCCAAAAATGTAGGTATGAATATTGGCACAGATAGCTGCTGGGAGTCAAATAGACAAAAAGATGTCGACTGTTTTTGTACAGCCAGAGACATGCCGGCTTGGCAGCAAAGAAATGATGACAATTCGAGGCTTCGAAGGACCTCCCCACTTTCCAACGTCTGGGAACAGAAGGTAGACGGAGTGCCGTGGGCATAGGCGGAGTAGCGGGCCTTGAAGAAGTCAGAAGGAGTTTCCCCTTCTCCTCTGGACGGCAGCAGCCACCACCGGAAGGAGGAGGGTGACAAATAAAAGAGTGGGAGGAGCAGGAAGAGGATGAGCAGGAGGAGAACTATGAATTACAAGGAGGAGCATTCCAGGCTCCCGGAACAGCTGTAGAGCAGGAAGGCTGGCTATCTGGTAAACCCAGGCAGCCGCAACTAGACGTAGCCTTGAATAACTGTGCCCATGTTCTCATGATGGCACTGTGGCAGCAGAGACACACTGACCATGTAGCCTGGGATAGTGGATGGCTCAGAAGGTCACCTTTATTAGGACTATATGTTATTAGTTATCTATTGTTGTATAGAAGGTTCCCCCAAAACTTGGTGTCTTGAAACACCGTTTGTGGTCACACAGTGTCAGTGGATCAGGAATCTGGGCAAGGCTAAACGGGCTCCTCTGCTTCTGGGTGTTTCTCCGGCTGCGATCAAAGTGTCAGCTGGGGCTCAGCTGCAGGCGGATCCCCTTCCAGGCTCACTCCCCTGGCGGTCGGCTGTGACGCCGAGGGCCTCAGTTCCTCGGACGACCATCAGATCTCTGCCGTGTGGGCTTCTCCAGCCGTCAGACCATGCAAACCGAGAAGGTAACAGAGGTCCCAACAAGACAGAAGGTGCAGCGTTTTGTAGCCTAATCGTGGTGCGTTATGACCCAGCACTTTCATGTCATTCTGGATATTAAGGAGAAGTCAGTTTCAGCCCACCCTCAAGGGGGCGAGGATTACAGGAGAATCCTTGAGGGGCAGCTTTGAAAGCTGCCTACCACAGGCTAGGCAGGCTCTCCTAACAGCTTGCGCTGTCTGGGGTGGGTTTTAGAGAAGATACTGCCTGTGGCATTATCTGAGGGGGAAAGGGAACCCCAAGAAACAATGGGGTTAACTTTTCCACCAGCCTGACCAACGGGGGCCTCCGAAGCTGGTTTACAGAAAAAAAAGAAAGAAAGAAAGAAAAGAAACACATCCCGCACATCTGAGCTGAGGACTTACTTATTTCTCATTTTTTTGCTCTCATTTCATTCTCCAAGCTGTCCTTTGTAATATATTAATATGCCATTATGCTGGTCATTGAGAAAATTGCAGCTCAGACGGGTTAGGACGCAAATCTGCGCACACGCCACTGGTATGGAAGAAGGAGTTTGAACCTCAAGTCTGTGTGACTCCAAAAGCCACCCTCTTCCTGTGACTTGCTTTGCCCCAGTGTTTGCCTGAACGTGTATATTTCTTTGATCCCTTACAACAGCAGAGGTCTGTAGGCACCCACCAAGATCAAGTTCTTTGAGCTCTACTATAATGTAAATCGTAAAATGTAAACTGCCACTCACAGGTCGTTTCCTGTAAAGCCCAGCCTTGGGTGGATCAGCATAGGTCCAGGGCAGACATCTCACAAGGTCAAGCTCCTGGTATTCAAGAGCATCGTGCATTGAATAGCACCAGTGCATTATCGCTGATTCGAACAAAGCACTGCTATGCACTGTTTATGCTGAAAATGGCCAGAAGATGATCAGAGGGAAGCGGGACTTCCCTGAGTTCCTCTCGTGCCCTCGCAGCTAGGGGTGCCGAGTGAGCTCAGAAAAGTGTCTCCCTCGGTGACCACGGTGTAGCCAGCTGGTCTGACTCAGGGGCTGCGCGCCCCCCGCCCCCACCTCCACTGCTGGTCCAGACAAGGATCTTGAGCCTTCACCAGGCTCCTTGGGGTGAGTGTCACTATGTGAGCCCCACAGGAAGTGTGACCTCATTCCGCCGCTCAGCCTCTGGTTTCGCAGGCTGTTTTTGAAAGAAAACAAGAGCGGTTTGAAAAGCTGACTTTCCCAAGAGCTGCGTGCTCTTCTATTCTAGGAAACAGCCGAGAGAACAAGAGGCGGCTGAAGACAAAGCTTCTCTGCAAGCGCCTGCACGCGGCGGTGTGTGAGGGCATCTCTCAGGAGGGGAAGATGGGATTTCCCTTCATGAGGAGACATCTGCACCTGTTGACATTCTGACATTCTTTTCAGCTGAAGAACTGCTAAGTCCTGGATTTCTGCACTGACTGTCAGACCCAGGAAGCTTCGTATTTCAGTAACTATTTCATTATCTACCAGTTGGAAGGAAGACTGGGAACTCCCTTTGGAAAGAACATGTATGGGCAAATTATTTTTCAAAACAGATTTGTTGCTTAGAGAGGATCTGTCTCTTTGAAAAGTTTTAGAGCTGTAACTGAAGTCTTTTTCAGTGTAACTAATAACTCAGTTAACTGTTTGTGTGCCGCCTGTAGCTTGCTACATGTTTTTGTAAGACACAGACATGAGACCTTGCTTTCTGCCCGGGGACTTGTTAGCTTCAAATTAAACTTAATGCTTGGGGGAAACTAACAGAGGGTCATTTGGGCTGGACATGTTCATATGATATTGATCAAAACTCAAAAGGACAAATGATATGCTATTACATTACAGTGAGACAAAATTATTTTATATTCCAGACAAATGAAATCTATGAATGTGTAAATCAAATGCTTTGATGTAGAGATCAGCCCAGGAATGCCAGAAAGGTCTCCTGACTTATCTAGAGGTGTCCGTAAGTCAGGATCAACATTTTCAAACAGGTTTTATATATAACTTATTGGAAGAATTGATCTAGAGCTATGGAATTATCCTGGTTTAATTTCATGTATCGCCGTGATAAAAGCAATGCATGACTAGTTATCACATTTAAAAAATGTGGATAGGGGTGGTGAATCAGAAAAGCATCTAGTCCTACCTTAGAAAGCTGTTAGGCTAGTGATAGCTACACGTTTAATAACAAATAGAAGGTAGACCTCTGTGATGAGTGGTAAATGATCATAGTTTACGTAATTCTCACACTCGGATGCGTGTTTAATTTGTAATTGAGAATGTAAATAATATGTGCGTGGGAACTGAGTTTTGAAATCTGCCCAGCGGTGCACCATTTTTTGTGCAATGCTGCTTACACAGCTCGGACATGTCCTGGCTGACAACGAGCACTGGACCAAAGACCGCTGGCCCTCTCTCCGGCTACCTGTCCATGGTTCGAGGTGCTGGACAAGAGACAGACACCAGCCCGAGCGTTATTTGAAACTGGATAATGAAGTGGATGTGTTTCGAATGATGAAAATATAAATAAGTTTGTTGACAGGGCTCTAGAACAGATCTTTTTTTTTTTCAGATTTCTTAATCAATGAACTCATTTTTATTATTTTATTTCGATCATAAGTCAGCCTTTGCAAATCTAGCTTTCCCGAAGCATATGTTGATCTTATTTACAGCAAAAAATTCGTTAGGCGCACCGAGCCAGACCGTGGAGAATGCGATACAAAATTGTAGAGGCAGGCCCAGGCTCAGGGGCCCATCCGTCTGGCCTCCAGCCTCCCATCCCGTATCTCTGTATTATTGCAGCCCAGGCATCTGACTAGTGCAATTAGTAGATGCCATCTGTTTTGGCATCACTTTTCTATTTTTAATGTGTAATCCACCTTTTTTTTAACATCTTTTGCAGAAAAATCTGTGAAGTTTGAACCAGCAGCTTTCCCAAAATGTACCGAATATCTCAACTGATGTCAACACCAGTGGCAAGTCAATGTGGGCGAATTGCTCTACGCAATTATCCTCTGAATGATTAGACTCCTTTTAGCAATTTCCTTGCTTTGATTTTGCTGATACTCATGCCATTAACCATCTGTCAGCAGCGTGTGCTTCTCAAATGCCAGTGTTCACTTTGGCAATGATTTTGGCTTCATTTCTTTCCTTGAGAGAAACGTGATATTTTTCCCTTTCATAGGAAAAAAAAAAGCACGGTTTTTTTTAGATGCCTGTGCACAAAAGTGAAAGAAGATTGTTTATCAGCTACTATTAAGATGCAAAACTGTTTGTCTATAAAAAAATACTAAATGATTTTGATAGCGACGTGCAGAAAATAGGGCGTAACTTGTTAAAACGGTAGTGGTTTCAGGCTTCTTCCTTCCTCTTGTCGTTTTCTCCCCCAACCCTGCTTCTGCCCCCCCCACACACACACACCTACTATTTTCTCCGTATAAAGCAGCCAGCCCAAGCTAAATGTTTAAACTCCTTCCTTTACTTAGATAGTAATGGTCCATCATGGAATCAAGTTTCGCTGAGCTTGTCTAGTAGAAGTATGCATACCATTTCTGCATAACATAAAATTCTGCTTCAGAGTTTAGAATATTAATTGACTACAACTTTCCCCCAACTGAGATCTGTTGCCGGGCTTTGGGTTAAACTGGAATGAATAGATGGATTTTTTTTTTCTTAATTAAGAATACTCACAGGTTTCACACATTAGAAAATCATTTATATAAAACAAAACTTTATTTCTTTTCCCTCCATGACTCCCTTTTGCTCATTGCAATAGAAGTGCCTTAAAACGCACACATCAGAGAGATTCTGAGCAGAAGACTGAATCCCTCAAAGTACCGAGTTAAGCTAAAATAACCTGGGCGGTTGATCTTGGTTTTCTGTAGCTTCACACAAGATGGCTTTTTCCTCCTTGTCATGAGTCAGTGTGATGCTAATGACTCCTTATTGCCTCATCCTGCACTAAGGGACCTTGAAAGGAGTGCTGAGCAGGGGAAGCGACAGAAGACAGAAGCCCCTAGAATATTCCTGGCTTCCCGTGGAGGCCTGGTGACAGGTTGGGTTAGTGCCGAGTCGCTGGGTGGCCACACCAGTCCGAGTCTCCGCAGAGGCTGGACGTCCGAGGTCCACACCTTCCTCACAGCCTCCACCGTTTGCACCGTGCGTGTGTGTGTGTGAGTGTGTGTGTGTGTGGGGTGACAAATGTCCAGTCCCCTCTCGTTTGCTTATGCAGGTTCTTCCGGGTCCGACAGAAAGTATGCTGGAGAGCTGTCTCCCACGTGCATTTTCCCAAGGTATTTTATGGGGCTTTTCCCGAGAGAAAAGAATTAAATTCCCTTCCTATATGCATTATTTTGTTGTCTTCCTGATTTAAAAACATTAATTCTAGGTATTGTCCAGTCGGGGATGGGTGTATATTTTCACTCTCATGCACACACAAAACGAAGGCTTGTCTAACCTGATAATGGATTTTGGCGGAGAGGGAGGTGTGACTGTGTAGGCAAACGTGAATTGTTTGTTGGTTTAGTGAAAGGAGAAACTACTGAATAATGATGCATGGTTACTTTTTCTCAAATTTACATTCTCTTAAATATGCTTTTTCGGTCTCGCTTTCCAAGAGCAACAGGATTTTATACCAGTGTACAAGCTGGCCGAGTTTCCTGTTCCACTGAAATGTGGGGAGTCTACCGTTTCGTTCGGTTTTCTGCACTGAGTCTCTTTTCCTTCCTCCCCTCCCCGCCCCGCCCTCCGTGTCTCCATCCGTCTTTCCCTCCCTGGGCGGGCGCCAGCTGGACCGGGCACTGGTGTTGGAGCCTGCCCTTTTCGTCGGTTCGCAGCCTCCTGCCTCTATTGGTGAACCAGCCCGGCAGGCGCAAGCAGGCCGTGTGGAAAGAGCACGTCCTTTAGAGTCGGGTGGACCAGGGTTCAGACCCTCACCCTGCTGCTTGCTGGCTCTGTAAAGTCCCTGAGTCATTTGCCCTTCTACAGGTCATTCCCCACCTCCCCCCCGCACCCCACCCGTGCACAATGAAAATAATACGACTTCAGTTTTAGGGAGGTCTGTCTGAACCAGATAAAGAACGAAGGATGGGCCAGGCCCCTAGTAACTTTTCGATACTAAATAATATCCATTTAAAATAGTATTAGTAGATTCAATGCATGTGTTAATTATGAATAGGCTTTTAAATTTAAAAATGTACCAGAAATTCAGTAGTGCGTGAGGCTGCCTTCCAGTCGTAGAGACGAGTGATTGTTTTTTCAAACCTGAGACACATACAGGTTCACGTAACCAGACAGGAGGCGTCCCCGACACTGAGTCAGGAAAGGTGACCGCACAAACGTCGGTGTGGTGGACTCAGAGCGGAACCGGCAAAGGCTGAGGCTAAGGGGATCTCGCTGGCTGCGTGCTCACCCTGTAACTCTCATGTGTCTGCGGGCTGTGGAGTGATAACCCATCGATTACTATGAACTGCCAGCACCCCAGACAGGCAATTTGCCATCAGAAATGGGTCAATGTCAAGGGTGTAGGTGCATGGCAGGGTGAAGGAATGGCGTTTAAAACAGAAAGAAGCCCCAAATGTTCTGTAGTCCGCGCTCTCACCGGTGAGGGGATGAAACCCGGACGTTACGAGTGACATTCTTAGGGCCGCCGACGTAACCGTAGCCATGAACACAAAGAGGCCTTTTCCTTCCCGGCGACCAGAGGTGTGGATTTTGTGTGACTGGGTGATCTAAACAGAGAATTGAATTAAGAAGGACTTTCCTTCTTAATCGCTCCACCTTTTCCACTGAACCTCCCAGCCCCTGTCTGGCAACCATCAGTCTGAACTCTGTGTCTATCACTGTTTCTGTTTTGTTTGTTCATTGACTCTGTTCTCTAAAGTCTACATGTAAACAAAACCATGGCATTTGTCTTCCTCTGACTGGTTTGTTTCCTTTATCATTATACCTTTTGAGTCCACCCATGCTGTTGCAAATGGTAGGATTTCATTCTTTTTACGGCCAAGTAATATTCCACTGTATATATCTTTGTTCCCTCTTTAGTTTTGCCTGTGACTTCCTGGATGGTGACAGTTCCTTTGACTGCTGCTCCACAGACCCCCTGACGGGCTCCTACCTTCCCTGTCGCCGAAGTCCCAGGCTCCTCACCAACGGCTACTACATCTGGACAGAAGACAGTTTCCTCCGTGACAGAGACGGCCACATAACTCTGAGCCCGTCCCAGACCAGTGTGATGTACAAGGAGAACTCGGTTAGGTACGCAGAACATGATACACAGAAAGAGCAAAAGTCCGATCCATCCACCGAGGTACTCACTGGTTCATTCATTCGTGCAACACGAAGCCCAGCGCTGCCCCAGACAGTGGGGACCCACAGGCTAGTGAGGGGCAGGTAGAGCCGACACGGAAACAGACAGAAGGCAGGCACAGACGCGGGGCCAGGGTAGGCGTCCGCTGCCCAGGGCAAAGCGAGGGGAGAAGGAAGAGGCCGATGTTACCCAGGCAACAGGCTAAGACAAGCTTCCTAGAGATGATGATGATCGATGTGAGTCTTGAGAGAAGAAGGACGTTAATTAAAGTAGACCTGGGAAAGGAGACTTCGGAGAGAGTTCTGAGCGACCCTGATGTAATTCGGGGAACCCCAAGGAGTTTGGTAGAAATGTAACTTAGGGTGAAAAAGGCCAGCCGCCAGAAGACGGGGCTCAGAAGCGGGGGCCAGGCGCAGGGGGTTACGCTCCGGGCTAAGGAGTCTGGGATTGATTTCGTAGATGAAGAGGAACCGGTGATGAAGTGTCAGATTTCTCCTTAGCAAGAGAACACTGAGCACAAAGTAGAGGATGGATTGTGGGGTCTGTGGACGTGTGGGAGTGGTCAAAACCTTTCAGAAGATGCACACCGTCTTTCTCCCCGCTGCCGCCCCGTCCCCTTGACATACTTCAGGAATCTCCCTTTGCTCAACCCTTAAATACCAACTCCATCACCTAACATTCAAGGTTCTTCACCATCAGCCTTTTTTTTTTTCCCCTTTACCTTTCTAGCCTCAGTTCCCAGCATGATCCAATGTGGGACCTACTTGTGCCTCAGTGGGCAGCTCAGGTCACCCCGTGTAGCTCAGAGCTCAGCTGCCTCACGAAGCCTCCCTGGACCCCAGAAAAGCCCCGCCTCCCTGCTCTGACAGCCCCGCCCCTCGCTGCTCTGCCAGCTGGGGCTCTTAACTAGCAGCCTGAGGCAGTTCTGCTGGCGCTCACACCCCTCCCCAGCACGGTGACAGAGCAGAGACTCTGGAGCCAGACTGCCCAGGTGTCTTCTCAGCTATGACCTCAGACAAGCTACCCAACCTCTTTGTGCCTCGGTTGCTCTGTTTGAAAAATGGGATAAGAATGGTACCTTCTTCCCAGGGCCATTCTGGGGGAGAACATGAGTTACTATACATAAAGCACTTAGAAAGACGCCTGGCCCAGAATAAGCTCTATGAAAGCATCAGCTCTATCTGCATTTTTTTTCTTTCATACTAAACTGTTTGTACCCAGGGTTTTGTCTTTCGTCTTGCTATCCTTGCCATTGTCCCACACAGAAACTTAAGAAACTTCTGTGGACTTAACTGAGAGAACAAACAGCAGGAGCTTCGTGGCCCTGAATTGTAGAGACGTGCTCTGTTCGTCAGATCACGTTCACGGGGTTCTCCGTTTTGACCTGAGGTGACCGCTGATTCCTTACTCACCATGCGACTTTCCTTTCTCTCCAGGATATTCAGAAAGAAAAAGAGAATTCGCCGTTCGTTCTCTTCTCTCTTCGACCTCAGAGCCTCTAAATCCTGGCTGCATGGAAGTATCTTTGGTGATGTCGACTCTTCCCCGGGGGAGGACATCTGGTTGGAGGGAGTCAGCAGGCTGGACGTGCACCATGGCAACGGAAATGGTGAGTTTGTATCCCCTTTTCCGCAGCGAAATAGTTCCAATGGTCCTGGACCAGCGTAAGATCCAGAGACGACAGTCATTTTGATGGACATGGTGGGCCACGTGCTAACCATTCGTCTAAGTTCTCTCCAGTACTTGCACGATGCAAACACATATGTGTCCGTGTCCTGCAAAAAGCCTAAAATGTAAATGGGTAAATTAGTAAGTAAAACCTTGGAGATACTTGCACATCTGCAAGACACCTTTTCTATGCGGTGTGTGGGTGGAGGAAGGATATTGGAATCAGAATGCAAGTCTTAGTTTGGGCCCATTGTGACAGTTACTTAACTTGGCCAAATCTCAGTTCATTTTTAAAACAAGATAGGTGTGCATGGTGTGCACAAGATAATATGTGGGGGGGCTCCGCCCGCAGAGCCCCCCCCCCATCCGCCACAGATGAGAATAAGTCTACCAAGACATGATCTGCTTGGGGAGGAAAGGTGGCCGATCTCTCACAGGAGAAGGGCCAGGAGCCTTTTCCTCAATGGCTTTTACTGGGTTCATTTACACAGGAATTCAGGTAAAGCTCATTACTCATTGCCAGGAAGTAAGGATCAAATAACAAGGAAGTCTGAGGGCCTATTTTGAGTCAGGGTCAAAGAGCTGTAAAACACTTTAAGGAACAAACTTACTTCTTCCTTGGACCCTTATCATTCAATTGAGAGCATTCTAAACAAAGCAGGTTTCACAGGATTTTACATATTCTTTCTGAGGCCTGATCACCTGGGGAACCCGCCCTTTCCAGCACAGGGCGGCACCACCCTCTGTCATTGTTTCAGGCTTAGGTGGAGCAAGGGAAGTAAGGCAGCTAAGAAATTAGGAGATTTTCTCGCAGACAATGAGGACTCAGGCTTTGTCAAAGCTGAGGGGCGAGGGTCCATCACCTCCTTTTGCTGTAGCCCCCAAAGTCCTCCCTTGGGGGCCTCCCACGTGATTGTGCCTGTCTTAGATCATTCTCCCCTTGGGGAATCTTACCCATCATTGGCTAACCAACCAAGCACTGGGGGCCAGGCAGGGTGAAGCAAAAGGAGCAGAAGCAGTGCTCCTGCCAGGGAGATAAGCTTTTGTCTCCTTGGTGGCTTACGGTCCAAGGTCGTTCCCTCAGCCTTAGCCTTAGCGGGGGTTACAGCTTCTGATACCAGGCAGGGCGGTTCCCAACAATAATATATTTATAGATTATAATCTATATCAGTATATATGATACTAATATAGGAATTGTCCTATTAAAATATGCTGTATGTATATATTAGATATCTCAAAATATGTGTATTATGTAATATATATGATATTTTATGTAAATATGTATATATAATATATAGGAATGTAAAACTTGGTAGTGGAAACTCAAAGCATATTTTAATATTAAATGGGACAATAAGTATCAGGGATAGTTCAATGCTTGGTCCTCAGTAAGTTGTAACTATACTTACTTTTTTTATGGGGAATGAAACAATGAATATTTATTGTGCACCTACTATCTGCCAGGCACGGCACTAGGTCTGGGGGTACAGGGTCAATAGAAACAACACAATCCTTATTTCTAGTTTACTGGGTCGGGGTGGGGTTCAGGCCTTTGTTAAATAATTGCACAAACAAATACAAAACAATAATTGTAGAAAGTGCCATGAAGAAAAGTCATATAATGTAACGAGAGATTCACAACAACACAGGGTACATATTATTCTACACCCATTTTACAGAAAGGAAAACTAATGCAGATTAGATACTTTTCATGGGGCCTCACACCAGTAAGTGGCATAGGCTGGATTCGAACCCAGGAGTCTTGAGCAGGTGCTCACTGTGCTGCCTCCGGGAAAGACTCTTTGGGGAAAATGTCTCAGGCAGGGAAGCGGAGGAGCATGGCATCGCCAGAGAAGAGAATATAAAGAAATGCCTAGAGTCAGCCCCAAATAAAGGTGAGACACTGCCATTTGGGACAACGTGGATGGATCTTGAGTTACATGACGAGTGAAATAAGTCACATGGAAAAGGACAAGAACCTTATGATTCCACTTATGTATGGGTTATAAAGCAGAAGGCAACAAATGAGAAACAAAACAAACACACGAGCAAACAATCTCACAGACACAGACGACAGAAGGGTGGTTACCGGAGGGGAAGGAGGGTGGGGGAGGGTGACGGGGGTCCAGATACACGGTGCGCAAGGGAGACTGGACCCGGGCGGTGAGCACACAGTGAAGCACACGGGTGCCGCGTTGTAAGGTCGTGCGCCTCAAATGTACGTGATGTCGTTGACCAGTGCTGCCCCAGTAAATTCAATAAAAATAAAAGTAGAATTCCATTTTCAGCCTCATGAAGCTATTAAAAAAAAAAAAAAAGAAATGGCCAACGGTGTACGGCTTAATCGAGAGGCTGGTGCCAGTGTCCTGCCGCCTTAAAGGTCGCTGGTAAAGAAGCTGAGTCTGGAGTCTTCAGTCGAAAGGCTGCACGGAGCTGGCTCATCTCGCTGACCGCCAGCATCCCTGGCCGATGGGCACGAACACGCACGGGAATAAGGAGCGCTCATGACTTTTTAACTAAGTTATAATTCGCACATTGTAAAATTTACCATTTTAACCTGTAGAAGAGGGCGATTTTCTAAAATATGTTTACAAGGCAGGTTAGGCCGTCAGGACCACTTTCTAAGCTCAGAGCACTTTCATGACCCCAAGAGAGACCCCACTCACAGTGGTCAGGCGCTCCCCACCGTCGAGGGCCCCTCCCCACCCCTGACAGTCACGGGTCTGCTTTCCGTCCCTACGGGTTTGCCTGGGTCGGACTTGCACGCCTTTCCACGCTGCGTCTTCCTCTCACTGGGAGCCCTGCTGCAGGAGTGGCTGCTTATGCGCAGACCTGTCTTACGGCTTTGAACGTCTGCATCCCCCGTTCTGGGCTGGCTTTCTGCGGCACGAAGGGCAAGCCTGTCCTCAGCCCTAAAGCCGTACTTCCTGACGTGTGGGGTGGAGGGCAGCCAGTGCCTCTGGAACCCGGGGGTGAGGAACAGCATCTCACGGCGAGAGAGCGGCCAGGACTCCTCTCGCAGCAGCGCTGCCAAAACCAAGGAGGGTCAGTTTGGAGCCTCAGTAGCTAGCTGTAAGGCCCTTGAACTCTGTCTTTTGTTTGAACAATATTCTTTTAGCAGAGGGCAGGCTCAGAGCTTTCTGCTAAAACAGCAGTTAGTGCAAATTAAATAAGGTCTCATGTTCGTTGCACTTACTTTTGCATTTATTTTCTCTCAAGGGCAGTTAAAGGATTGACGTAGAGTTCCCTTTAAAGTAAAGGACTAAAACGGGACAATTAGAGGAAAATGGGAAAAGGCTAAGGGCAAGCAGGCTGTGGGATGTGCAAAAACCGGGAGAAGGATGCTTGGGTGACTCGAGTTTGGGAGTTTCTGTTCTAAAGGCCGTGTTTCACAGAGATGGAAATTCACGTCTAGTTTTCCCGTAGCTGCCTCTTCAAAATAAATATGTCCAAACAATTTTAAAGCAGTTGGACCACAGCAGAGCTGCACATGCATGAGGTGTCTTGTTAAGATTCTCCTGGTTTCCAAATATCTTCTAAATATAACAAATCAAACCTCCCCCTCCGAAGTCGGTAATTAGTCAGCCCGGGCGCACGCACGGCTTTGAAGCCTCTAGTCTGGGCTGTCAACTCTAATCAGATCTCCCCAGACTCCTCTTCCGGATTTGCCCCAGGCCCCGTGACTTCCATCAGCAATTTACTTTCCCCTGGAAATGTCGCCTAGTGAGAAGACTCGAGAATTCGAAATTGTTTTGCTGTTTTCTCTCTGGGCAATGGATGCAATCAAAACTTACTTCCCCTGATTTTCTCTTCCTTTTTTTTTTTCGGGCTAAAAAGACTGTTTTCGTTGTTGCCTGTTCTGTTTCTCCTCGGTTTACCCCTTTCGCAGCTGTGTTGGGACACCTTTCCTCATTAGCAGCAATTCATTCTGTAGCCAGGTTCCTAGACCCCAGGACCGCCACTGGGGACCAGTCCCAGGGCCCTGTGGGGACCAGTCCCAGGGCCCTGTGGGGACCAGTCCAGAGCCCTGTGGGGACCAGTCCCAGGGCCCCGTGGGGACCAGTCCAGGGCCCTGTGGGGACCAGTCCAGAGCCCTGTGGGGACCAGTCCCAGGGCCCTGTGGGGACCAGTCTGGAGCCCTGGGAGTCACACAGCAAAGGGACAGAGGACTTGCCCGATGCAGGGAAGACCGGGCAAAGCTTCCCACTCTATCTCTGCAGTCCTGGGAGAGAAAGACAAGATGACCGAGGCATGTCACCCCAGCTTCAGGTCTGCGGCGGTCCCTAGAGCTAATTACTGCTTCTCCCAAGAATACCTTTGATGGAAACTTCTGTATAAGGCTTTGTGCTTCCTTCTCTGGCAACAGTAATGCCCACTCTCCTCACAAGCACATGGAAATGTGCTCGAAAGAAATAGATCCACCTCTCTGACACAGACGTAAACTACCCCAAATCAACCAGGAGACACAGGACGAAATTAATACCTTCAAATCTAGAACACAAGAGCCGACTACTGAAATGTTTCCTGCATTGTGATCCTTTCATTTATGATAAAGGGTGGAGAAAAAATTAAAGGTCAGTGAGGAAAACTGTAAATTGGGGGCAAAAACATGTCTTTTCAGAGACGAAAAATCCTTGATCTTTTTTTAATGTTAAGATTTTTTTTGGGGGGGGAGTTGCCCTCTTGAATGCCATCTCTTCTTTCAGAAAAGTCTGTGTAGTATTTCCAGGACTCCATATGGGATACAGCTTTTCTTTTATTTTTTAAAGATTTTATTTATTTATTTTTAGAGAGGGAAGGGAGGGAGAAAGAGAGAGAGAAACATCAATGTGCAATTGCTGGGGGTCATGGCCTGCAACCCAGGCATGTACCCTGACTGGGAATCGAACCTGTGACACTTTGGTTCGCAGCCCGCGCTCAATGCACTGAGCCACACCAGCCAGGGCAGGATACAGCTTTTCAATTTCATCCGCTCTCAGTGGCAAAGCCCTGAGTTCAGCAGGGCAGCCTGGGGCAACAGCACAGGGATTGTTTATACTGTGGGCACAGCCTCCCCTACCTCTCTCCCGCCTGCAAGGAAGTGCCTTCATGAATAATTAATCATCTATGGAAGTTCCCGGTTCTTTCTCTCGTCCACCTGGACACGACCACACAGCCCCTTCTTTGTGTAAAACAGCTTTGTCGAGGTATAAGTGATACAGGAAGAACTGTGCGTATTTAATGTGCATACTCGTCCTGCGGTGAGTTTGGACAGAGCCAACACCCACAATCCCATCACCCCACTGAAGGTAGCAGATGTCCAACACCTCCAGGGTTTCCTTGTGTCCCTCGTGGTTTGTTTGTTTGGGTTTCTTTGTCTGTTGTACTGAGGGCATTTATCATAAGATCTGCCTTGCTGACACATTTTGAAGTGTGTAAAACGCTGGGTTGTTAACTATGGGCACCGTGCTGCCCTGCAGACCGCTGGGACTTACTCATCTAGCATAACTGAAACCCTGTCCCCCATCCCCCGCGGCAACCGCCATGCTGCTCTCTGACTCTGTGAAAATGATGATTTCCGATACGTCCAGTGCTATCTGTCCTTCTATGACTGGCTCATTTCACTCAGCATAATGTCCTCCGGGTCCATCCGTGCTGTCACCAAGGACGGAATGGTTTGGACGGAGTGGTTCACCTATGGGTGAACCCTTGGGTTGTCTCTGTATCTGGGCTGTTGTGAACAGCGCTGCAGCGACCGAGGTCCGGGACCTCCCCTGCTGTGCCGTGTGGTCATTTCCTGGACCGTCTGCACAGTTCCCTCGCTGTGGCTTTCTTCACTATGGCAACTGGAGGGATGCTTCTGCCTCGAGTGGCTGCCAGCGGTGGGAAGAGCGCTGGGAGGGAGCCTGCAGAGTCGGCAGGGATTCCGGTGTCCGAAAGCACCAGCTAGCTCACTGGCTCTGTCTCCAGGCTGGGCAGGAGGGCCGGGCCTCCGGTGCAGTGAGCGCACCAGGCGGGGCCAGGAGGCCGTGCTACTTGAAGCCTTCAGATCGGTCAGCTCTGGCCTCTGTGAGGGGGGACAGCTGACCGCTATCTCCATGGTTACCGTAGCCCTGGCTAGCGGGCCCAGGCTAGACTCGGGGCATAGCAACTGCAAATGTCTCAGCCGGCCCCCGCTGGAACGCTTCAGGTATCTGCATATCTTACTGAGCGCTCGCTGTAAGCTGGGTGTGACTTGCTGGTGTCTGGGACAGACGAGGTGACGTTTTCTTCATGGAGCTTCTAGTCTCGTTAGAAAGGCAGATTTTAAATAAAAAGTCACACGAATTACGCATTGTATACAGTATGTGTTTACATAGTAATCGCAAGATCACAAATTATAATCTGCCCTCCCAATGCAGACAGTGGGGTGCTCTGACAAGACGGAGATGCGAAGACACAGAACATGCGGGAGGATCCGGCGTCCTCCCTGGGGGCCGGTGTGTCTGTCCCCTCCATGGGGAGCAGGGCACGGCAGGGTCTCTTTGACGCCCCACTCCCAGCCCCTGGCCGTGCAGTGTGTGCTGCCACACAGTGACTCCGCACGGAACAAAGGCGCAGCTCGGCCTGCCCCGCGCCCGCAGAGCGGTGCCTTCTCCCGTCCCGTCCCCTCGCTCCAGCTTCCGGGCTCCTCTGGCACGTGGGGTCTTCTCTGGGGGCGTCGCTTGTGGGCGGCCTCGGTCTTTCCTCTCCGCTGTTATTTCCTTAATCACTTTGCCCACACACCATGGCAGCCATCAACGCAGAGAAAGCCTTTCCGACTTTTGTTGATTTTTTTCAGAACCACCTGGATTTTTATCCCATCACGAACCACACTATTTACATAGAAATGCACAGAAGGTTGCCTAGGGCGCCACCCCCACCCTGAGAGGGTCCATCACTTCACTGGCTGCAGCATAAGTTCCAAACTCCTCAGCCGGACGTCCAGGCCTTCGGTGGCCTGCCCTGCATCTGGCTTCCCAGCTCCCTGCTCCACGGGGTCCCCTCGGGCACTTGGTCTCTTTGCTCCAACCGCACTGGCTTCCTTCTCCGAACCCTGGTGCCTCTGGCCTGGGCGGGTCTCTGAACTGAAGATCCTTTTCCTCTCCAGCCTTCCAGGATGATGACAGGTGGAGATGCCGTCTCATGGAGAGACTATTGCTAGGATCACTAGCTGCAGGGCATGCACTGAGTCGCTGCACACGCATGTGCGCTCACACTCACGGAACCCTTCTGCTTTTCCAGGAGGGGACGGTGACAGTTCTCCGACCGCTGACTGGGAGTGGGAGAAGCCGAGAGCAGAGTCTGTGGACGCCTCCTCTTCGGGCCCCGTCGCACCTGAGACTCCCAGGAAAGGTTCCCATGGCTCGTCCCTGCAGTCCCAGCTGATGGCTTCTGATCATCTCCAAGGGGACGTTTTGGATCATTCAAGTGAGTTTTTTTTTTCTCTTCAATCTTTGCCACACCCAAACCATTCTTCCTTCCAGGGCCTGAGGGTGACGTAGCAATGAGTAATGTGCACTTGGGAACTGGCATCAATCTCTGCCAGGAAGGCAGGGTTTGGGTGCAGCCAGCACCCGTGTGACGCATTCACAGAGGAGACGACTGTCTTTGGGGTGTCACCTTAGGGGCGTCAGAAGGACTGACCTTGCAGTGTTTTGTTTAAAAAAAAAAACACCCTGAAGACATTTAGCAGAATGTTAAGCTTTGCTAAAGCTGGGCGGTGCATGCCCAGGTGTCTGTTATTTATCTTCATACTTAGCTGCGTATCCGACATTGTCCACATGAAGAAGAAAAGAAAGGAAGAAAAATATCCTTGAATGCTATGTCCCTGGCAAGGAAAAGTCAAAAGACTTAGTGAGATTTCCTTTCAGGAGTCGGTCTGAACCAGATCCGGCAAGCATGTCCCTTAATCTCCAGTTGGCTGATACCGGACTGATCACGTCGGCACCCAGCGTCACACCGCGTCTCTGCCACCAGCTTGCCAGGGTTCAAAGCCCCGCTCCCCACTTGTTAGCCGCACCTCAGAAACAATTTGCCTAACCCTCTAAACTTAACACGTTCCTCTGTGAATGGGGACCATCAGAGTTCCTAGCTTCTACGGATGAATATAATTCAGGTAAAGCGCTTAGCATCCTGTGTCATGCATATTAAATACTCAAAAAATGTCAAGCTATGTCTACATCAGGCTGAGGTTAAACGGAACACTGTCTTCACTTCGTCTGCATTCACAAAGCCATGGTCAAAGTCACTGACCACCTCGTCTTCTCCCAAAGACCCATGTTCCCTGCTTCATACTGTTTTATTCTCAGGGCAGCTATCCGAAATACATGTTAAAAAGGGGCTTCCAGTTTCCTTTCCAGGTTTCGGGATGATCGGGGAGCAGCTTTCACTGTTTAGACAGTTCCCAGGTGATCAACACCTACTAAGGGTCCATGGGCACCTCCTCCAGGGAGCCCACCGTGTGCTCTTGGGGAGGGCCTGTTAAGTGACCCCTATGTGCTCCCAGCACTCCCCACTCTCATGCTTGTTTCCTGCTGCACGCTTACCTCTGCGTCTCGCCCACCAGACTACGAGCTCCTTAAGGACGGGCGCTACTACTGTGTCCTAGTCATCTCGGATTCCACAGTGCCCACGTAGTGCCAGGCACACAGCGGGGCCTCCGTGACCGGGGTGGGACAATTAAACGCACTATCTGCATTTTAACTATAAGAATTGTCAAGTTCAGACAGGTCCAGGGAGCCTGTGCCCGCGTTCTTTGCCGTGTCTGGGATGTGTCTCCCGCTGACTACCGCTAAGACTCCAACCCCTTCTATAAGGTTGAAATCAACCCAGCCCTCCCGTGTGTGGCGTTCTCTGGTGGGCAGGGGTAGTGCTTTGCTTCCCTGTGGTTCCCTAGTGCTCTGCATCTCTCTCCACCGGAACTAGTTTCCTCTTCCTCGCCTGCCTTGGAAGCCTCGGGTGGGCAAGGTCTCCACCGAGTCCCGTTTTACCTCCTGCACGGGTGGGGTTTGCATGTGCATCCTGTTCCAGGCGCCCCTGCACATACCATGGGTGCAGGCACACGTGACATGTGTTTATTGGCCGGGCACGTCTGAGTTCCAGCAGCTGGAAACCCAGCTCCGAACGCACCGTCAGCAACAGAACTTACTGCTTCGTGTTCGTGACGATTCCAGGCGTAGATGTCAGGCGTCTGTCGGGGTCTACTCTCCTGCCCTCTTCTCTCCGGTGTCAGCTTCATTCTTTCAAAGGTTGCTGGCCTGTGGTGGCCCTCCGTGGCCCTCCATGGCCCACTGCCTGCAGCTTCCCAGGCGCCAGTCCAGCAGGAAAAGATGACAGCCTTCTGGAGCAACGTCACGGGGCCCCGTTTCGTTGGTTCTGGAAGGGTCACAGTCACGTGACAAACCCAATTGCCATCAATAAGTACACAACACTCCAAATGGCTCGGAGCGGGCCGGATGCTGGAGAGAACTCAGTCTCTCACACGAGCCGTGAACAGAGAGAGGCGGGCAGGCGATTCCCACGGAAATTATGGGCGCTGCCGCCAAAGAACAGCAAGCAGATGTCAACTGTTCTCAGTGAGCTTGCAGTCTAGTGGGGGAAATATAGAGAAATGAAACAGCAATTTTGACTCATCGAGAAAACAGCACCAGAGGGGACATGCATGAGCCACGGATCTCGGCTAAGGGCCAAGGGGGAGTTGAAGGAATCAAGGAAGGCTTCCCGAAGGAGGCCACACTCCAGCTAAGCCAAAACAGGTACTAAGTAAATGGCCACTGGTAGAACTGAATCAATGAACACCTTGTCCAAAATTGCATAACTCATATCTTTGCAGAACGTGAGTTTAAACCCAGTCATCCGTTAATATTTGAGTCTAGTGATCTTTGCAGTTTGTCAAACTAGGCTTGTTTCCGTGAGAAAACGTTTTCCACATTCCACATGGCATCGGAGGGGGCTAAGAATAGAAACAGACTTCAGGAGGATGATCGAGTGCTCAGCTGAACCCACAGTAACCTATTACACGTGAGTGTCCATGAGATTCCGCACGGCCGGTCTCCAGGGTCCTGCCCACACCGTGGACTGAGCGCATCCTGCACACTGACTCGAGTCTTCACAGCATCAGTAACAACAATAAATGCATTCGTAGCAAAGTCATTCCGCGTTTTCCACAACTTGGAAACTTGTGGGAGTGACCTGCAACTGTTGAAAACTTGGGCTTTTGCAGCACTGGCAAAAATAAGTCTCGGGGTGTGTTTATGTGGTAACCCTCAAGCCAGCTCTGATTTCTTTTAGGCGATTAGACTCATCCTCAGGGTTTCCGTGGGTCTAACTCACGCTTATCACTGCTGGAGAATTTGCAGTCAGTCCCCCTGTGGCTTGGCAGCAAGGCTTTGCTGATAGCAGAGGGCTTTGCTGTCAGCCCATGAGATATGATCCTCTTGTGCCCTTGAGAGACTCCCTGTATGCAAAGTTGCAATTCTCCCCCGCTCCACCCCGCCATCTCAGGCAAAGCATTATGTGCTGGCTGGAGGGAGTTCCTAAACCTTGGCTCTGGCCCCTCAGAGCTGTGTGACCTTGGGCAAATTCGTCATTCCTCTCCGTCCTGGACCTCTCATTTCCAGAGCTTATGCTGATGGTCCCTGCCTCCTAGGTGTGTCGCGCGGATTAAATGAACCGGTGCATGAAAGCTCTGTGAATTACAGGCCACTCTACAGATTCGGGCGTCATCATCATTGTCGTCGTTATCATCATTGCTACATTTCTGACACTTGCATACACTCTACAAACCCTTTTCCCTACAGCAAACTAAAAGGCAAGCCCCAAATTGTTTATGTAGCAGAATCATTTATTGTTTTAATGATACAAAAAAATCTAATTATTTGCAGTATTTTTTCTAGCATTTCGTAATATTATTGTGTTACTTCCAACAAATTGTTTGGGATGACATCCATCTTAAAACTGATTTTGGTATGTAGAAGGGAAGTTTCAGTGTGATTTTGCCGTTCCGGCATTATTTAACCAGCCATGATTTCTAATTCATTTATTTCTACTTTTCCTATTAGAAACCAGTTTGTTGGGAGAGATCTCTTTTCAGACAGTTCTGCTTGCTGCATGCTTGATCATGTCTGCATGTGCAAGGTAATTCGGATTTTATTTTCTTGCGGTATGTTTCATAATTAATGAAGCTGTAATTGATTGGTGATTTACTCGCCTTATTCCACAAAGCATTTGGAGGTAGCTCCGTGGTTAAGATGTGCTCATTTGCCTGTGTGCTCCTTTTTCTGTCGCCTCCCTCCTCTCATCGTTTCACAGAGCATACAAAAGCTAGTGCATCTTGCTGGAAGTCGGAGTTTACAATGTATCGTCCTTTGTTTAAATCCTCAGAGACTCTGTTACAAATATAGACTAAGTACCTCTGCCTGGAGTTCAAGGGCACTTAAAGTTCCCACTAGGGGACCTGGAGTCCTGCTGGGACTCCACCTTTTCCATTATATTTTTATATCCTAAAATAAAGTTCCTGTTCCAGGGGGGCCTACTCAGCATCTCAGAGCACTTAATGCTCTCGCCTGATTACAACCCTGTTTGTCCTATCCTCTGCCAGGCATGGCCCTCCTGTCCTTTCCGTGCTCAGGTCTCCAGGCCAGTGATCACGTCCCTTCTGCGCTGGGCCCACCTGTGCTTCCGGGCCTTTGCACTCGCTGTTTGCTCCGCTGCCTCGTGCAGCCGTCTCCAGAAAGCCTTGTGATGCGTGTCCTTCCTCTTCTCTGGAATCTGCTCCAGTGTCCCATCATCAGAGAGCCCTCCCTTCATAACCCTGTATAGTAGCATACCAGTGCACTTTGCTGTTGTCTAGAGCACTTATTACATGTTCCCTCGTATAAGTGTTAATGACTATCTCTCCCTGTAAGAATGTGAGCTCCCCGAGAGCTGAGACATGGCATGTCGCCTTCACTACTGCAGCCCCGGTGCCAGGGGCTGGTCAGCCTGTGTTGAACCAGTGAAACGGGGAGGAATGGCACAGTCCCGGGGTCTTTGCAAGTGCGGCTTGCTCTCAAGTCCCGCCTCTTGAGGGGCAAATGCCTCACATCTCTCTGGGGAGTTGTGTTTTCAAATTCAAAGTCCTGGATCCCATCCCTTGAGATCTACTAAGCTAGAGCTAGTGAGACTCAGTATTTGAAAAGTGAGCTTTTCAGATAGTCATGAGGTTTGAGAAGGATTTTTAGATCACAGTGGGACTGAAGAACGGAAATGGGGGAGACCCTGCGGTTAAAACTCTGCCTCCTGTACCACGTGGGAGGATCACATGGGCTTCAGCGTGACAGCCACAGTGAAAGAATGTAGTGTGGAAACACATTTGGCTTTATGTAACTTGGCATTTCCTAGCCAGAGTGACCATGGAACACTTTCCTTTATCTCACAGGGCTGTTAATGTAACATTCCTCTCAGGTTAATCTCTGTGGATATTCCCTCCTTAACAGGGGAGCTTCACTCCCCACCCCTTGAGTGTGAGCTGCACTTAGAAACTCGCTCCCCAAGAGTAGAGTGTGGGAAGAGGAAACAAAGGTAGCTTTATAGCCGACAAAGCTGACAAACAGGACCTCGCATGGTCAAGGTCAGCATCAACACGGGTACGTTACGCTGAGAGCCTGTACCCGTGATACGATGAGATAAGAACGGCACCTCCCCTCGGTGGTTCCAGACCCCAGCCTAAGCACGAGAAGAACCCCAAATGAGGGACAGTCTATATGTGATGTGACCAGCCGCCCTCGAAACTGGCGAGGCCCGCAAAACCAAGGAGCGTCTGAGGAACTGTCACAGCCCAGAGGGCCCTAAGGAGACGTGATGACGAAAGGTGCTGTGGTGTCCTGGGCTGGGCTCCTGGAGCGCGGGTAAGTCAGGGACAGCTGCAGAGTCCAGAGGACATGCAAAGCAATCGAACAGTGAGGCACCGCTGTCGGCCCCGTAACTACGGCCGAGCACGTGCATCGTGAGGTGCTAGTGGTCGGAGGGGCTGCGTGAGGGTACGTGAGAACCCTCGGCGCCATTTTTTGCAACTTCTTTGTATAGCTGAAGTTATTCTAACCTAAGAAGGTTATTTAAGAAAATGATTGGTTAAAAAAGAACTGTTCCGCCCTGGCTTGTGTAGCTCAGTGGATTGAGTGTGGGCTGAGAACCAAAGTGTCGCAGGTTCGATTCCCAGTCAGGTACATGCCTGGGTTGCAGGCCATGACCCCCAGCAACCGCACATGGATGTTTCTCTCTCTCTCTCTTTCTCCCTCCCTTCCCTCTCTAACAATAAATAAATAAAATCTTTAAAAAAAAGAACTGTTCACACGGGCAGCAGCGTGGATGGACGTCGTAGTACCATGTAAGGGAAATACGATAGGCACAAGTGTCCATGTGACTGCACACACATATAAACCTCCAGAGAAGGCACAGGAACCGGTTGTTATTCAGATGTAAGAACGGTGATCATTTTGGGTGGATAGAGTGGGAGGGGCCAACGAAGGAAACCGTACAGGGTGCTGGAAATATTCTGTATCATGATTTGGGTGGCAATTACAAGGGCTTAAGTAAAAAAAAATAAATAAAAAAAAATATATATATATATATATATATATATATATATGCATTTTATATGCTTTAGTGTACCTCTCCTAAAGCATATAAAATGCTTTTCAATGAAAATCCTTTTCAATTTCAAAGCATAATTTAAAATTAAATTAAATAACTTAAAATGAAAATGCTCCATTTAAAAGTGCATATAGAGAGATGCCTAAATGGAGACACATCAGATTTGCGTAACGGCTGCTTCAGGGTGATGGAATTTTTGATATTTTCCTTTCCCCCTTTGTATTTCTTTGTAACCTCTTTCAGTAAGTCATAATTTGAACACAAAAGCAATAAAAACATTATCCTTTGAAGAAATAAACCCACCCTGTGAAAGAGTCATTCATCTGATTGGCAAAACCCCAAACGCTTAGCATTCTTTGGGGCGGTAGGCACACACATTTTCTCCTTTGTTTTCTTTCCAGAAGTTTTATACCTTTGTGGTACCCTTGCCAGTTCATTCTTTGCCCGTGAATAGACAATTGTTTCAATACCATTCGCTGAAAAGACTCTCCTTTCTCCACTGAACTGCTTTTGCAACTTTGTTAAAAGTCACTTAACGTCTCCCTTTCTGGGCTGCCTCCCCTCTTCCACTGATCTGTATTTGTATCCCTTTGTCAAGACCACACTCTCTTTGTTACTGTAGTTTTTTTACACAATAGCACTGATGAATCCTAACATCACGCGTCTAGAATCAGGCTAAGGGAACGCCCCACGCGCTGGGAATGCCTCATGAGCCCGCTGACCCTGAGCGCTTCCTTGTTGCAGGTGGTTTCTGGGCGGGATGCTGGCCAGCGCCTTCACGTGCTCCTGCATCGTCACTGTTGCTTGTAAGTAACCGTCTCCCAAACGCCTCCTCTGATTCCCGTGTTCCCTTCCAATTTTGGTCATTTTACTGGAGTTTCTCTTTCTCATCCAAGATGTTGTCAAGTTACTGTTTCTCAGCCTCGCCGGCTTCTTCAGAGCCACCCCCTGCGCTAGGAGAGTGTCGCCTGTGTTGTCATCATTTAGACCAAGATGACGGTCCTCCGAAACCTGGGACTTTGCGCCGAGTGAGCGTGGCATCGACTGCATACAGGAAAGGACCGGATCATTTGTCCTGAAGAAGACTTCCTATTAGCACAGAAATCTAACAGTCTTGTCTTCCTGTGTGTAAATTCTTACATCAGAATAGATAGAGTTCACTTTTAAGGCAGCAGGATTTAGGAAGTCATGTGAATTTTAAATTTTTAAGTAGTATTAAAGGCCTTTTATAGATTCATAGCACTGCATTTTAACAATGGCTCCTACGAAGAGGACTTTTTCCTATAGTTTCTCAAATAACCGGCAAATGGCCCACGGAATGGACTCAGTTACAAACCGCGATGTCTCCGCTGTCTCTCAGGCACTTAGCAATCCCTCTGCAGGCTGATGGCCACGCGTTAGCATATTTCCCAGGGTGACTGGGGTCTGGGTGAGAGGCTCGTGGAATTTCAAGCAGCCCGCAGAGCAGGATCCCCTGCAAGACGGATTGTGTTAATTACCTTCCACACGGCCGCCCGCCCGAGGCCAACTCCCAGAGCTGGGAGACAGAGGTCTGTGATTCAAATCAGTTCACAGGCCTTTGCTCCTGCACCGTGTCGCCCCTATTTACACACTCTCGGTTAATTCTGAAATCACAGTGATGCGGAGGGAAGGCTTATTTTGTTTAGGACTCCGGCCAATGTTGATCTGCTGACACTTTGAGTGATGCGTCCCTCAGTTTCCTAGCATTCCAGACTTCTGGGTGCAGGCATTCATGTGGCTAAGTTTTGTTTAATCCGATAGTTAGGAAATTGGGTCCTGAGGCCACCTGCGAGAGAAATCCTTATTCTTTAGCCCTTGTCACCGATTGACATTTGTTTAAAGCTCTTCTAAGGTAGGCGCCCCCTCCCTGGGGCTGCAGGCTGCTCTCCGCCTCACAGGCTGTTAGCTACAGGTCTGCTTTCCTGCTCGGCTTTCTGGGCGGGGATGTTGCCCTAGGCAGGGCTGGCCTAACCAGGAGTGTCTGAACAAAAGACTCTCACCCAGACAGTCCTTTTGTGACCCAACTTTCAGATGTGAAAGCGTCATTTTTTTGTCAGATGGGGCAAATTGTATGCATCCGTTCTCTGTGGGTTTGACGATGAACATGTACCATTAGTAGGAAGCTCTGTAAGGAGGGCAGAGCTTCTGGGAGGGTGCCATGGCAACAACCCCTCTTAAGTCAACTGGGGAGCTTGTTTAAGGAGCAGATTTGTGTACCCTGAATCCAGACCTTCCCAGCCCAAACTTCTGAGGGGTGTCCACTTTCAACAGCCTCTCCAGGTAATTCCTTGTACACTAACTTTGAAAATCTTGGAAAGATGGTTCGTAAAACCCTACAGTGGCCTCCCTTAACCTACTGAACCTTTACTGAGGCCGTGCATGCTCTGTGCGGGGCTGGGTGCCCAGCTCTGCTCTGCAGACGTTCATGGTCTCTGCCAAGGGTCAGACACTGTTGCTAGGTGACCGGGTTGCATGCCAAGGCCTTGAGAGTTCAGAGTCTAATGACAAGAGCATGGAAAGGGCAGAGCGAAGGTGACTTTTAATATGAAATGTGGGAAGTGCAGGTAGAGAGGTAGCAGAGAGGCTATGGGGATGCCAGGGGGGAGGTTTTCCCAGACCAGGAGCAGGGGGAGGTCGGGGGGTGGGGGAAGACCTAATCTGCTGCTGCTTTGAGGGTGGCTCCGGCTGTTCTGAGCTCCTCGTTCGTTCGTTCTCTCCTGAAAATAATTATTAGGTCAGGACCGCCATGCCACTTCCTCTGCACCGCTGTCGTCCACAGCCTCGGTTCTGGAACGAGATGGCTTCTCTGATCGTCTGTGTACACACTATCAGCTTGCTCTCTGGTTCCCGCTCCGTTCTCACCCACTCCCTGCCCACCACGTACACACGCACTCCTGCGTGTACGACCTGTGAGCACAAGGACTTTGGATTTCCTTTTTGCCTCCACCTCCATGCCTTGGAAACAGTACACATGCCATAAATATTCATTACATCGAAGGTATTCGCTGCATCATTTCTTATTAAACCCAAGGGCTCTGTGCCTATGTAGGACAGATGTTGCAACCCTCTCCCTCACATATAGACATGTCCAGAAACCAATGAGCCAGAGACATGGTCATGACCATCCAGAGTGTAGAATGACTCACACGTCTGTTTCAGCCATCAGGGATGAGGCTCTGAGGGGCGGAGGGCGGGCTCTGAATCCTGTTCCACAAACTGTGATGGAGGGGCCCTCCCCCACCCGCCCTGTGCTCTGCGTGCCTCAGGTTAGGGTCCAACCCTGACCCTTTAGCACCTTATGCTTCTCAGGTCACGTCCCTTTTCATCCCATAATGCAGTTCTCATTCAACTGTCTTCTTTGTTCAAGTCCGTGGGTTTGGGACTGTCTTCACTGCTCACCTTTGGCCAGAGTGTCCCTTTCACACGAAGGTCATCACAGGTGTCCCACCTGCCAATAATGTGTTAGCATCAGCAGTCTGCATTTTGCAAACTTACAGTTTTAGGGAAACAAAATGGGTGGCATCTGTTCTCTCTACACTTACGTACAGGAAAGTATGTGTACATAGGTGGTGAATGAATGAATGCATGAACCTTAGGGAGTAGAAACATGAGGAAAACCCACCTGTTACCCTACAGGCGTTTCCGTTGTAGGGGCGGTGGAGAGAGAAAGCAATAGGGAAGGGTACAGAACTGAGTACCAGGCTGGGACGAGGGGCAAAACCTCTGTGGCCTTCCTGAGGAAAGGGAGAGAGCTGAGACCTGCGAAGGCAAGAAAAAAAAAAATACAGACAAGTTACTCGAAGCTCCACTTTCCTAGTAACGATCACTCAAGCTCGTTTGTCGGTGTGCACGCACGTGTGTGTGTGTGTGTGTGTGCAGGGATGAGCACAGACACCGCCCTTCCTGGGCATGCAGATGAATTATGCATTTCCTCTCTCCTTTCTCTGAGCTGGGTTCGCCAAAGTTTGACAGCCATGCAGGAGAGCCTCTGGTGAATGTCTTCGATCTGAATATCTGGAAACTGTCCGATTGGCAGCCCGCTTGGGGTCAGCTGCTTTATTGGAAGGGAGGGAGCAAAGGATACTAGAGAAACACCTTTATAATTTGGTTATGTGATCATTTAGAAAAAAATCTCAGTTTTGCCCACGTAATATGTTCATGAAAATAATAATCAATTCATCCTCCCCTTGCCAGCACTAGCGGGGGAAAGGGAAATGGGATGGAGAACAGACCCCCCGGGGAAAATACTGCCCTGTGATTCCCTGAGGCCGTGGTGCTGGAACATTCATTTCCACCTGAGAATTCTCAGGGGAGCTTGTAACGGGCAGATGCCTGGGCCCGCCCACACGGACGGCTCTTCGCTCAGCCGCAAGGGTCGAGTAAGGAAAGCGGGTTTGCGTAACCGACACCAACTCGGAAGTAAACCAGTGCAGTTCGTACTTAACACAGAATGCAGACAAAGTCCTTCTTCTTCCTGAAGGAGTGGCTCGCTGTCTGGTGGCGACAGGGGTAGTGGCTGCTGGAAAATGGGCGGCCCGGAGCCATGTTCGGGAAGGCACGCTCTTCTTCCGACCCGTTTCCTTCGCCGAGGTTCCAACCTCGCTGGGGCCCCTGGGTGCGTTTCACTGACACTGCAGTTCAGATTGAACGCAGGAAAATTCCTCGAGGGGAAAACAGAGGAGAAACGCCAGGGCGCTCTGAAAGATGCAAGAGTGGTGCCGCTGCAAAACCGGCCGTGGGTCGCAGCCTGTGACGCCCCCTCGCCACCCCTCCGGCTTGGGACACGTTCCCGGGAGAACGTGCTTGCAATTCAGATTTGTTCCCTGTGACAGCCTCTGAGTGGAGACTTGTGTGGGGAAATTTGTCTTCGCTTAAAACTGTCATGACAAAATATCAGTTCTTATTTTATTTAGAGCATTTGGGATTGAAAAAAAGTGGTGGTGTTCTGATGAATGGAGGCAACGGCAAGCTCTACGTGCATGTTGCAACACGAGCCATCACAGGGTGGGGGGGGGTGGTCGCTCACGGAGCACTGTATCAGTTTCTCATGACTTCCGAAACAGGTGACCACAAGCCAGGGGCTTGCACAACACGGATTCGCTGTTTCACGTTTCCGGGGGTCAGAAGCGGAGATCAAGGCATCAGGGGGCCCTGTTTTCTCTCGGAAGGCTTCGGGGACACAGATTCTCCCTGCCCTGTGTCCCCGGCTGCCTGGCTACGGTCCTGCTACTCCCGGGACTGGGTGGCCCTCCCCTGCCTGTCCCTCCCGGAGCCTGGTCATCCTTCTAGAGTCCCCTCAGTCTTCACCGCCACTTGCGAGGCTTCCCGCGAGTCCCCCAGGATGATTCACAGATTTCCCCCTGCTGCCGTGCCCTTGATCACAGCTCCTTCAGGGCATGTCTAAGGGTCTGTAATTCTCGTTTGTTTCTTCAAAAATAGTTGTTGACTATGTTTGAAGACCATGTGGTCATCACGGCCCCAGGCTGGTCCGGATCTTCGAGGCCTCTGCTCTTCCGTTACTGCGGAATACCTAGAATTTCTACCCAAGTGTTTTCCGGAGCGCCCCACGTGGCCAGGCTGGAGCTCTCGCTCTGGAGGGTGAAGCGCAGGGAAAACGACTGGGCGGCTGTTGGCGTGCACACCCGGGCCGTGCCACGGCCCTGGCCGAGTCTCCACGGGTTTCACGTTCACGTTTCCACTCTCCTGGCTTCTCAAGGAGGCCGGGGTTTCGTCGTCTGCTGACCTTGCTGTCACACCTCGTTAAATGTTAGTGGGGAGGCTCCACTAGCCACATTTGACTTCAGGGTTTCCACAAAACTTTCCTGAACATTTCAGTGTGTCGGGACGTTCTTGCTCCTCACTCGGACTGCCGGGACCTTCGGGAACGTGGTGACACCTTCTCGGCTCGGGAGACAGCGGACTTTGGAGGAGGACATGCAGCCCCTCCCTCTCTGCTGGTGGAAAGACCTCCCACGGTGGGGCAGTCCATGCCTTGGCCTTCCAGCAACTCCTGGTCGGTCCAGGTCAGCTGCTGAGTGGTCTGTGGTCACATGGGCACCTGGGTTCCCTCCTCTCCTCTCCTGGCACCCTTCCGGCCCTGCAGCCTGCCCGGAGGCCGCACCGTGCTTGCAGCCCGGTCAAGGCCGGCCCATGTCCCCTCCAACAGCATCGCTGACTCGGTGTACAAAGGCTGGGGTGGTTAGGGGAGCACAAACACAGATGGACCACTTTCACTCTGCTGTTTAAAGTTCCCGCGTGGACAAAGCAACCGTGATTTTTAAGCTTCATTTACAGCAATGCGAAGAGGCGAGAAGAGCTTCAGAAGGAGCCCAGAGCTGGAACGGAACCCTGCTCACCGCTCACTCGGTGAGGTTCCTTGACATCTCTGAGTCTCCGTTGCTTTATGTACGAAGTAGAGATGGCAATTCCTACTTTTCAGCGTTGCTCTGAAGGTTCCTGAGAACGCGTTTGGTGAGGGGATGGCTTTGACCCTCCCCGTGATGCCTGCCTCAGTCATCTGTCTCTGAGTAGCAATGTTAGCACACACGTAGCAGCTCAAAGCAGCCCCCGTGCATTCTCCCGTGGCGTCCATGCGTCAGCAGACCGACACGGCTTAGCTGGGACCCCTGAAGTCTGCGATCGAGGTGCCAGCCAGGGCTGGGGAAGGTTCTCCTTCAAGCTCACGTGGTTGTTACATCAGCTCAGTTCCTCTGGCCCACAGGCTGAGGCCTCCCCAGCTGAGCCTGGGGATGGGAGCCCAAGCCAGACGTGTCTTGTCTGCGGCCTCGCAGAGCACCCAGGGGGACTGTGTCCAGACTCCTGGCCCCCGGAACTGTGAGGCAATAAATGTGCCTCCTGAGCTGCCGGGTTTGTGCTAACATTATGACGCGGCGTCAGATAACACAATACCCAAGAATCTCCACCGAGTTACTCTATGAATGTAACACAAGTAAAAGCCGTGAGTTGCTCTGCAAAGTGACTTCAGAACAAGTCCCCTTGCAGCGGTCTGGAGCCAGGCTGCTGCCCCTGAGCCTGGCCACGGAGAGCAGCTATTCCGACCTTGAACTCCTGAGCTCCTCCCTTGGCGGGGGGTGCAGAGTCCGACTGCTGACCCGTGTGCGGCCAGGAAGACTTATTCCTCGCGGGCTGTCAGCCTCGCTGACGGCCAGCCCGCTTCCTCTGAGCACCCCCTTTGCCAGCGCAGCCCCGGCAGCGGGCGACGTAGTTATGCAGACCGGGGTCTGCAGCACATGACAAATTTGCCGCTTTCCGGGCGCGACTGCCCTCGCTGGGGTTCATAATAGTCGTCAGAGTATGCCCTGAGGTGTGTCTTTGGTCCTGCAGCCTCACCGACTCATTCATTCGGCCGATACGTGTCTAGTCCCTACCACGTGCGGCCCAGAGCCAGCCCAGCTCCTGGGGATACAACAGCGAAGCAGACAGATCAGCGTTCTGCTCTCATGAGCCTGGATGTTTACGTAGCTTCCCTTCACTCTGAGAAATAGGCAACATTGCCGTTGAAAAATTGTTCATGGTTAAAACGACATGAATCCAGAGAACAGTGTAAAACAAATAGGCAATTGAATAAAGTCCTATGAGGCAGATGC